TTAAGAGCCTTCCACTTTGACTAAATCGCACCTCCTAACTAGTATTGTATTAGGTCAAATTTTATATATATGAAAATGAATCGTATATATATAAAGGTTAGGTTGTCACATAGGATTTTCAGGGAGCTCTGACATACTCGCCTCCCTCATCCCCTCATGTGCTATTTTACCAATATCTCTACATCTTCTAAAATTCTATTTTTCTGATTTCCCCTCTATATTTAACTCTTACTATCTCCCCTTCTTTACAATTGCTTCGCCTTTTTACGCTCTCTCTCAAACCGTATTGTCGTATCTCTCTTTTCCCCTCCTTTCTCTATTATTTGCTCTCATGTTGTCCCTTTGTTTTCTTTACATTCTCACTAACCGAGTCTTTACCACTACCTCATTTCTCTCTCTTTCTTATGTTCTTCTCTCGGTTTGTTTTCATGGAGTTTCGAGCTAATGATATTACACCACTTCTGTTATGAATCCTTTCACCCATCCTTTGTTTTCGTGCTGCTACATTTTTGTCATATCTCTTGTTGCTTCTTCTTTTTTGGTTCGCATACTCTTTTTTCTATTTAGTTGTCGTTGGGTTTTATGGCCTTAAAAGGCCTAGAGACCTTGCCAAAATGATACTTCATAGTAAAATATGCAGTTCAGTGGGAGTGTGTGTGACTGACCATGGGTTGGGTGGTTTATGGCCCTAGTTACGTCCAAAACCCTTACCCATGGGCATGTAGCACTACCGATAAGGGTTTACAGTCGGTCATCCCTTATTGAGGTCGGATCGGTGCCTAGAGATGATGTTTATAGGCCAAGAGAACTAAGTGGTCTCCTATGTGCGGCTATAAGCCAATGAGAGCAACGGCCAAAGCCTCAACAAACTTTTGCATGGCATGTACACATGACAACCCCATTACTGGGAAGTAGCCTTATAAAGAAGGGGCACATATATATGTGCATAGAGACAACCCCTTTTGTACTATAGTGACAAGTGCTAGATTTGCTCTTAAGGGAGGGGCTGAAATCCACAATCCAGGATCATGGTTCCATTGTTTATTGACTAGTTTTAACAAGCCAATCATGAGCCCATGCATAGAGATTGTGGGTCATGGATCTTTGTTAGGTTGGATAAGAAAACAGTGGTGGATTATGGTTCTTGGGATATGTGGAGTGACCTTATTGTCGCTAATTTTGACCTATTGGTACCAGTTCACTCCTAGTATATTTTATTTTGGTATTAGAAATATTTTTGTGATTTTTACAATGTTTTTCAGAATTTTAAAAATTTATTTCTCCTGTAAATTCCTAAAAGGCATTTTCATCATTTCTAAAATTTGGAAGGGCACATGTGGGGCCCAGGATCCAGCCCCACATGTGTGCCACCCAGGGGTTGGATGTGGGCGATTGTGGGACCAGTTAATCTCTCTTCGGTGGCATGCCCCCTTTCTTTTATTATGTGACATCGTTTTTTTAAGGGTGTGGTTTACATAAGGTTGCAACCTTAAACAATCCAATTAAGGCGCACCTCTAAATTTTATCATAAATGTAATTTTGATGTAAAAAATACTTAGGTGCCAGGTTCAGGGCCATTGCAATGCATGAATCTTCAAATATTCATGGGAGTGGATCTAGAAATGGCATACTAATTCAGTACGATATCTGAGGTTAAGTGAGACATTCCTTTCAGAGTTCTGCAAAATAAAAAAAATGTGGATATCATGTTGTCCTTCAAAGGCTCTGCATGAGGCACCCTTCCCTTTTAAAATTGACCTATTACTCTCCAGCCATATTATCAGCACCACGACCACAGTAGAGGCGCCCCATAGCAGGCCCAACGATGGCAGGGGGTGAGAGAATTAGGCAACAAATAATTGCTGGGCAGTTTCAGGGAGAGGCCACACAGCGTAGAATAAGTTTGGAAGGAAGGACCAAAGTTGGTTGGTTACTACACACTGGAGGAAAAGATGGTCAACTGATTGCTCATTTTGTTTGCACATTATGCAACAGCTAAGTGTATACCTTTAGAGAATGGATGTGTCATCCTGTGTTGCACATTATTTAATAATGCAATATTTATCTCCTTAAACCATCATCTCTCTTAAGACTTCCCACAGGTGAAAATTATGTTCTCCTCCAGTCCCCCGACCAGGGAAAATTCCTCATTTGGTGGTAGAGTCTTTTAACAATAGACATCGGCATCCTAAAGAGACATGATAAGAAGACTGAGATGTTTGATAAGCAATCCTTCTTCCCCCTAGGGAAAGAAATTGACCTCCCATGATTGCCATTTGTCAAGTAATTAATTCATGTGGAAACAAATACCAGCATTTTTTTGTTAGATTGAAGCATCATATCAATTTTAAGATCAATAGAACACATAATGTGATTTCATTTATAAAGAAAACAATTTATGTTTCCAGAGTAACAAGAAACCCTACCTTGACTAAACAGCCACTATAAAGTACATTCAACAAAATGATTTATCAAACAAATTATAAAAATAACATGTCTTCAACGTCGGAAGTAATCAAGCTATTTATCTTTCATAAAAAATTACCAACTAGAATAGGACGATGAAACCATCTCTTGGAGAAAGATAAAATGCTTTTGATCTAGAAACATGAAGGTCGATGTCAACCCTAGAATATTACAAAATATGAACCATTGAATGTCTAAATAATGTTCAAAGATGACACATCTAATCTCAAAAGTAGAGAAATTTTCATTGTGCAAAGCAAGTTATCCCAAGTTTTAGGAAGTAACTCATGGTAAAATGTGTGCCAAGTAGTTTATTTATCACAAAGAAGTATGAAATTGTTTTGGAATCTCAATAGAAGTTCAATATTCCTTTAAATTGAGCAATTGGGAAAATCAAGTATGGCAGATCATTGTTTCATAAACAGCAAAAGATGTTTTTTTCAGGGGGACAAATTAAATATGGCATGACAGAGTATCGTACAATGAAATACAAGAGGAAGAAATGATAACAAGAATATTCATAACTGATATCCACACATTTCGGGACTGGGAATACAGAAGCTAGTAACACTCCTACCAGATTCCAAATGGTAAAGATATCACGTTCCTCTCAAAAGACTACATGAACAAAAGTTCGATCTAAATAGCACATGAAAAAGAAAATTCCCTATGGGAAAATAAGGAAAACATATGGAATTCAATGAATCTTGAAATTAACCAAGTGCAATGTGATACCCTCAAGAATGGCCTTCTTTGCAACTTTTAAGTCCATCTGCAAGTTTTATGGAACATAAATGCTCTTAGTACATGAAAACAAAACTTCATTTTTTCTCAAAATTGCGTAAGAAATAATATCCAAACACAGAAAACCCTGGAATAACTCAATTCCCCTAACACAAATAAATCAATAAATACACACAAGCATACTGATGCATACGCACACACGCAAGCACACATGTGCAAGTGTCATATATATATATATATATATATATATATATGGGAAAAGATGGGATTAGCCCACTAGCTCATATGCGCCCAACGCCTAGATTGAATATAAGCCGATCTGACGATCACGGATGTCCGATAGTGCTTGAATTTTATTTTATTTTTCTACAAATCCAAATCACTTAAAATTTTAGGTGTGTGTTCTTCTCATCAAGGCGCACCTAATAAAAATATAAAAAAACTTATTTGTGAAAAACAAAATGACCAAAATACCCCCCAAAACTTTTTGAGGGTATTTTGGTCAATTTATTCCATGTAAAATATTTTTTTGATATTTTTTGAAGATTCACCTATTCTTGATGAACACACGCCTAAAATTTCAAGTGATTTGGATTTGTAGAAAAAAAACTAAAATTCAAACACTACTGGACATCCGTGATCGTCAAATCGGCCCAGATTCAATCTGGGACGTTGGGCTCATATGTTCATATGAGCTAGTGGGCTAATCCCATTTTTTCCCTCTATATATATACACACACACACACACAACCATTTCTGTAATGGATGTGTCAATGTGTGGTGTTTAGTTAACATTTCCCTTTTCCGTTGCTGTTTGTTGTACTTCTTTCTCGGGATTTAAAACCCTTTCACTGTTGAAACTTGCAAGTGCGCCTCTACTGGGAAGAATTATTAACACCCATGACCTCTAAAATGATTTTCACACCAGGATAACCATCGCAACATCATTATCAACATGCAGGTTACACTGCACTACTCCCAGATTCAGAATTGTTTTGAAAACCTTGACGAAATTAAAAACTGTCCTGGGCTGACCTATTTTATTTCCTCTTTAAATAACGTTTGTCAAAAGCTACTTCAAACAACTCTTTCAGGATTATTACCCCAATATCAACACTATGAACCCAAAGGTAGATTTAAGACTCACCAATAACTGATGATGAATGTCTAAGGTGAAGATACGGACAAAGAAATGGCACCCGCAATAATATCAAAATAATGAACTCATTCCAAACAAAATTTTGGCTTTTAACCTAAAACAAAGGTGGTCATTGCTAAGGCTTAAAAAGTTCAAGGGACAAGTTCTAATTCAATCGTACTATTGGTTATAAAACGAGACATCCTCAACAAAATCCAATGCAAGCATGGTGTCTCCCATAGCCTAGGAATCTTTTTGACATCTTTTGTGAGATTATAGACCCTCTTAGGTGCCTTACAGTTGATATTCTACATTTCCATAAGTAGCCCAATTGAATGCAAATTGTAAGTTGATTTGGATGTGTCGTTCAAGTACTAAATTATCAGTGGGTCAAGGAGAGAGATTTGAAGATCCAAGCATAAGTCATGTAGGTAGATGTATCCACCTGACAATTACTCAACCAGACATAGCCTTTACAGTGAGTATAGTGAGTCAATTCATGCATTCTTGCAGGACACCACACTGGGAAGCCAAGAGGAGAATTTTGATATATCTTAAGGGGGCTCCAAAATGAGGACTTATTTGCAAGCAGAATGGCCATTTCAACATTGAGAGCCATTCTGATGTCAATTAGGTGGATCTCCATCAGATAGAAGATCTATTACAGGTTATTGTACTTTGTTGGAGGAAACTTGGTAACATGGAAGAGTTAAAAAAAAAATGTGGTAGCCAAGTCTAGCATAGAGGCTGAATATAAAGCAATGGCTCACATTACACGTGCATGAATGTGGCTGAAACCTTGATAAAAGAGATGGGATTCACAATTACCAAGCTAATGAAGATGTTTTGTTAATTACGCAGCCATCCATATAACTAACACCCCAGTATTCCCTAAGAGAACAAAGCATATTGAAGTGGATTGTCATTTTATTTGAGAGAAAGTAACAAGTAAGCAGACATCTACTCGATATGTGAAGTCGAAGGATTAATTGGCTATTTTTTCATTTTTTTTTTGAGGAAGTTAACGGTTGTATTGCTATAAAAGAAAACTATACATACGAGTCGAAAGCACCCCACAAGCTAGGTCTCTCAACAAAAAACATAGGCCAACTATGGTCCTGTACAAAAAATAAGGGGTGTATAGGACTCGCCCAATTACAAGAGATATATAGTGAGAAAGAAAAAGAAGATGCGCCCACAGAGGTCCAAAGCAAAAAAGAAGATGGACCAGAGACAAAATGATAGTCTAAGCAACTCATCAAAACGTCGTGGCTATGCGGGGGCTTCAGCTTGGGCCCAAGCACCATCCTTAGCCAAAAGATTTGGGAAGTCGTTCGACATCCTCCAAATATATATCTAAAAGAAGTCTATATCCCTGCAAATATGCACAAGGGATGGCATTTCCAGGGGCCCAAGATATAGTGTTTTTGCCATTGTGGTCTCGAAAGACCCCTCCAACTCTAGTTGGGCCTGGGTTGCCGAGGGAGCATTCATCGAAATTAAGCTTGATGATGCCATCTGGGGGAGGCAACCAGTTGTTAGCTCTTGAGACCCAGGGTGGTTCAAGGTTTAGGATATTTTCCTAGTCATAAAGGAAAGTAGCCGTCGAGACACCAGATAAAGCCCTGTTGTTGAAGGCTCAAAAGATTACTAGCGAAGTAATCTTGTGGAAAAGAGCTGGAACTTCACATTTAATATCTCGAAAAATCCTAGAATTTCTTTCAAGCCAAAGTACCCAGATGGTTGCTCCAACGGAAGCTCTCCAGAGGATTCTGCCCGCCTTTGGCCAATGAGATTCCAGAGAAGATGTGATGAGAGCCGGGGGAGAGGCTGGGGTAACCCATGAGAGACCAAAAAGCTGGATAATATGACTCCAGAGGTCAAGAGCGAGGTTGCAATGAATGAAGAGATGAGAGTTTGTTTCTTCCTCGCAAAGACATATGACGCACCTATTGGGGATGGGAATCTTTCCTTTGGAGGTGGTCTACAGTGAGTGCTCTTTCAGAGCAGGCAATCCAATTGAAGGCCTAAACTTTTGGAGGAGCAATGGTCGACCAAACCTTGGAAGTAACAGAGGTAGGGTTTGAGAGGGAAGGTAGGTGGTTGCAACAGTCTTTTGTAAAAAAAGGCCACCGAAAATGAGCAAGAGGGGGAAGGAGTCCACACCAGGGTACCCAACCACGAGAGGGCGAGGAAGGTAGAGTGGAGCGAGGCTGATAAGGACATGAATTCCACTGTTACCTCTTCAGAAAGAGGGCGTCTGAAGGAGGGTTCCAAACCCTTCGATTTCCAGAGATAACCATTTTGTCAAAAGAGGATTTGTTAGAGGCAAGAGAGTAAAGAGATGGGAAGAGATCTCATAGAGGGGTGTGGCCTAACCAGAGGTCAGACCAAAAATGCAGTCTAGCTCCTCCTCTCGGATGAAATCGAATGAATCGCTTGAACAGAGATAGGGAAGTCAAGAATGACTTCCAAGCGCCTGAGACCCTGGACGAACAAGTTCCCTCTAGAAGCCAAAGATCTGCGACAATTCTATATTTACTGTGGAGAGCCTAGGCCCAGAGTGAGTTGTTCTGGGTGGCCATTCTCCACCACCATTTCCCTAGCAAAGCTAAATTATGTTTACTTAAGCTCCTGATGCCAAGTCCTCCCTGGTGTTTCGAGAGGCAGACCTTGTCTCAGAAGATAAGGTGGAATTTTTTGGACTCAGCTTCTCCAGACCAAAGGAAATTCCTCATCAATTGATCCAAGTGATTAGCTACTGCGGCGGGCATGTGGAATAAGGACATGAAGTAGACCGGAGAGTTAGCCAAGGTAGCTTTGATGAGCGTGGTCCGCCCTGCAAAAGACAGGAACCTACCTTTCCAACTTGCCAATCGCTTGTCTACCTAGTCTATTACGTGAGACCACTGCCTCTTCTTAGGCTTCCCTAATCCCATAGGCAAACCAAGGTATGCAGTAGGGAGGTCCTTCACGCTGCAATCCTAGTTGGGGATAAGAGATCTAGTTTCAAGAATGGAGAGGGCCACCCCAATCATTTTCGATTTTTCCATATTCACTTTGAAACCTGTGGCGTACTCAAAGCATTTAAGAAACAATCTTAGGTTTTTTATTTCCTCCATTACAGCATCTAGGAATACTAACGTGTCATCTGCGTACTGCAAGTGGGACACAATCGGGTCGTGAGTACTGCTTTTGAAACCGGAAAGAAGGCTCGCCTGGTATAACTGGGTGATGGATTGACTGAACACTTCAGCTGAGATGGAGAAGAAGAAGGGGGAGAGGGGGTCCCCCTGACGAAGGCCCCTCAAGGACAGGAAGAATCCCTTCAGGGCACCATTGATGAGAACGGAAGATGGGTTGGAGTAGCAACCCCTAATCCATTCTAAACATGGCTTCGTCCAGGATTGACCAGTCTACATGGTCATAGGCCTTCTCCCAATCTATCTTGAAGATCAAGCCCGGCTTTTTAGTTAGGTGTCGAGAGTGCAAGCACTCGTGTGCCACCAGAGCTCCATCCCGGATTTGCCTATCGTTGATGAAGGCGGATGGTGAGATGGCGAATGGAAGAACATATTTACCAAGGCTCTTAGTTGAAACCAGACTCGGATGTTTTTTCCAAGTTAGGAATGGTAGTATTTATGCTCCTACTTGAGGTGGAGTGTTGAAGAAAAGTTATTGCGGTTATGTGCCTTGTTTGTGGGCAAATAGGGTATCCTTGCCCTTTTTTATATGCTTGACATTAGTATAACTATAATTTAAATAAAGGCATTACTGTAATTTATACATGAAGTTAGGTTCATATATAATATAGAGAGGTGTGGAGGCTATGTAACTCTAACAGGACTGCTTCCGGCCACCTCTCTTCATCTTTTTGCAGTCTCTCTCAAACTCTTACTCTCCCTAACTTTTCTCTCACTCCTTATTCTCAGCACTCCCTTCTTTCTCATTGGTACTATAGTTCTAACAAAAATAAAAACTTGCAGGTGTCCAAAGAAAATACTTTTTCTTCAACATAGTCAACAGTTTATTTACAAATAAAAGCCATGTACATCTCAAAATATGAAGGCGAAAATTCACTTTCAAAGGATATGCATGATCCACAAATCAAATATCCACTATTCCCATTATGGAGATCTTTTTCATAACTCCATGGGACAAATAGAGTAAATAATTAAGCTATGAAAAATATATAATAGATTAGTACAAGTACACCATGTCAATCACCATACACCAAACTCCAGCCCATGCATGTGGAATTCAAGAAATATTAGACTAAGTGGACACACCAACTCACGTGGTAAGCCTGCAGACAGTACATTTGCATGCAAATGGTTCCTTGCATACTCCGCAGCCAAACGTCCACCATGTCCATCAAAAATTGCATAAAATGAACACCTATAACTTTTATTATGTTAAATGAAATTTCAGACAACATAATCTTTATAAATTTAGAAAATGTGAAAAAAAGTTCTCAAACAAAAAAATAATTGAGAATGGAGCATACAGAGTCCACAAGTCAAATTGCTCCCAAGTGCAAATCTATATATCCATTATGAAATTCAAGACATTTTATTTTATGAAACATCAGATAAAACGTCAAACATAGTCCTGAGCAACACAAGGAATCAAATTCCTTAGCCTGCAAGACCATGAGTCCTAAGAAAATGTTGGAAAAGTTCCCAACCTAATAAAGATATCAATCTTATTTTTAATAATGATAGAATAGCCAACCACAAATCTTCACAATAGCCAACACGATGCACAATTACCAAGCTATAAGGAAAAAAAGAAATAACATATACCATTCACATCTACTTGTTAGAATTTACCAAACTATAAGGAAAGACCATGCAGCATTCACATCCATCTGTTAGAATTATGTCTCAAACAAGTGCAATCATAAAGAACTTCAAAAAGTGCGCACTATGCGAAAGAAATTATGGGCAAGACAACCAAAACTTTAATTCACTCTTTTTTCCTTTTTTTCTTTTTTAATTGAGTGCTAGTTTATCATAATGGGCCATAGGGAAACGATCAGCATTAGTGACACAACCAGTACGTCGTTTCAGATATTGGAAGATATCTTAACTGCAAATGTTACATAATTTTACATCGCATAATTTTGTGCCTATTATGAAATGAGAGCAAGGGCATGAATGCATGACATGAGTTCAAAATGTTCGGTTTTGTGGCCTTTAAAGGCCTAGAGAGCTCGTAATATGATATTTTATAATAGAATAGGCACTTCAATGGGAGTGTGAGTGTGTGTGTGTTGACTGACCAAGGATTGGGCGGTTTATAGTCCTGGTCAATGTCCAAAACCCTTACCCCTGAGCATGGGGCACTACCGAGAAGGTTTTACAATGGGTCATTCCTTGTTGAGGTCTAAGGATGCCAATGGTTGATGTTTACAGACCAGGAGAACAGTGTGGTCTCCTTTGTGCGGTTGTAGGCCTGTGAAAGCAAGAGTCAAAGCCTCAAAAAACTTTTGTACAGCATGTACACATGATAACGGCATTACTGAGAAGCATCCCTATAGAGGGACACATATACACATACATAGAGAGAGCCCCATTTGCACTGTGGCGACAAGAGCTAGACTTACTCTTAGGGGAGGAATTGTAATCCATATTTCAGAGTCATGGTTTCACCACTTATTATCCAATTTTGAGAAGCCAATCATGAGCCCCTTCTTTGAGACTGGGTCATAGGTCTCTGTTCGATTGGATAAAAAAATAGTAGTGGATCATCGTTCTTGGGTCAACTAGAGTGACCTTATTGTCACTAATTGGTACCAATCCACTCTTTGTATAATTTATTTTGGTATAAGAAATATTATTTTGATTTTTACAAAAACTTTCAAAATTTTCAAATATTGTTTCTGTTGTAAATATTCATTAAAAGGATATTTCTGAAAGTTTCGAAACTTTAAATGACACATATGCGACCAAGGATCAAACCCCACATGTGTGCACTTTTTTTTTGTGGGGCCACGTGAACCCCCTTAGATAACATGCTCATTTTTTTTTTTAACACAGTGTGGCACGCCATTTTCAGCAAATAGGGGGCACGCCCCACATTTTTTAATTTGTTCAAATTTTAAACAGGTTAAAAATAGGAAATCTTTTAATTTTGAATAAGATTTGGTTTCCTATTCAAGTGGGAATTTTAAAATATAGATTATCCTTGATTTCCTAAAAGATTATGGAAGATATAGATAATGATAAGATTGGTTATATTCAATATAAATAAGAGTTGGATATGGTAAAATTTAAGCGGATAAAGTTCCTATTTTTCCACCCAAGATGGCTGATTTGTGGGATGGATGGCTCAGATTAAATCTCTCTCACCCCTCAGATTTCCTAATTATCCTAAAAGATCAAGCTAGAAATTAGTTAAGGCATACCTAACTTAGAATCCTATTCAAAGCAGGACATAAATCTTGTTTCTTTTGAAACAAGATTTGAGCCCCCTTTCTTATGACAACAAGTTCTTTTTCTCATACTCTAAGATCTCTCTCTTCCACACCACAGTTCTCTCCGTCACAATTTTTTTTACGCTCTTAGAAAAAAAAAAAGAAAAAGGTAATGCCTTTTTTCTCTCTCACGTCAACCTTTCTCTTTCCCATATTTCTCTCACACAAACCTCTCTCTCTCCCCATAGTTTTGGCATGCTATCATTTCTCCTTCTCCTTTATGTGTAATAACTCAAAGAAATAAAGGAAGAAAGAAGGGACATGAAACCCTAAGTGAGTTTTGTTGTTTTTGAAGAAGAAGAGAGATACAGCCAGCCAAGAGAGAAATAAACCCTCAAGCCTTACCCTAGTATGTTCCTATAGGGTTTCCACAAACTCTAGTAGAATTTTTATGCTCTCTAAAACCTTAGATTGAAAGGTATAGCATGAAAAGCTTCGCATCTCAGAATTTCCAGTAAAACCTAAAGGACTAAAAGTGCGACATCAGTCAGAGAAGCGCGTGTGGGGTGTACCAAGACCTGTGAAGGTCACTCAAGACATCTTCCAGTAAGTTTTTCCAATAGATTTAATTAATTTTTAATAATATTTCTTATTTTTTTGGGAATTTCCAAGAAAATTTTTAAATTTAATACCTTGAGTTCCACATAGCCACTTCTTTCACAAAATGGCATCACCAAGTGACTGGTAGCTCACGCACAAATGCAGTTCTTCGAACTCCAGCATGTGGAGACCGCAATATTTCTAGTGCATTTCATATGCATGATGGGTGTCCAACTATCATAGTTTGGACATGATTTATACAACCTGAGACGTCCAGCTCAAGGTTCTAAATGAAATAACATTGCTTTATTTCAATGGTCATAAAGCAGCATGGAGGGACATCATCAAAAGATCGCTTTCATAGGGTAGACCTGGGTATCAAACAATGTGGCTAAAATTTGAGGCATGACCAAGTTCAACGCAAACAAGCAGATGAGCAACACCACATGGATCACAAGAACAAAGGATTAAGAAACAAGTGAACCAAGATATCCTCTTTCTACAAAGGATAGAAATTAGAAAATCGAAGACTACAATGCTGAAATTAGTCATTGATCAACACAAAGTAAAGCAAACCAACCAACTAAAATTCAAGGAACTCAACAGCAAAACAGAAGGTACCAATGTTATTAAAACAAGACTGGACTGTCCAGTCCAACCAGTTAAACCACAAATTGGGTATGCAAACGGTCCGGTCTAGACCAAAATGGGTCAAAACTAGTCTTAACCTAGCAAGAATCCGTATAAACCAGCCAGATCAACTAGTCCAGCAGTTATCCACTAGTGGAACTGGCAAACCGATCGAAACCATCAGTTCAAACAGGTTCTACCGATTTTCTTTTATTCTTTTCATTTATTTCAATGACTGGTCCAAATGGTGCACTGGCTGGTGTGATCAGTTTGGACCAAATTGTCGCCCGCACTTAGATGACCTGTCCAGTCTTAACAACAAATGAAAGATGCAAACTTGAGCAAATAAACAAATGCATCAAGGCCATCAAGACATACTAAAGCAAGCAACCTTACAAAGAAGATTCCAGTGCTACTGCAATTAGCTACCAATCAATCCAATCTAGCCAGACTAATGGAAAAGGACTAGACTCAGTGAAGAGACACCATTCCTAAATGTGAAAGCCCTAAGTTCTATCCTAATAGCACACCAACCAACCCTCAAGAAATCAAAACTCTTCCAAATAAACAAACCAAGCCCCAAGGCAACATATTAGAAATTCGAATGAACAAATCAAGAAAGCCCCAAAGCACCATGTCAGAAAGCCTGTGTTCTTCAGAACCTGACCACAGACACCAGCTGCTTGTCTCCCCATCTCCTTCTGTGACACATGCTTGGCTTGCTAGGCACTGTGATTGCATCTTTGGTATAAGTATAACTTCCAAATCCAGGTTCTCCAATGAGAAACCACTGCCTGTATCTGCTCTCTCTCTCCTCTTACTGGGATTACTCAGCACAAGGCATGAATCTTTGGCCACAACTTCCTGATCCAAGTCCTCCATGTTAAGCTTGTTTGAACCTACATCTCTACTGAAATTCAAACTTTTGTAATTTTTTCCTTCACGACACTAGCATGGAGCATCTTTATCTGAATCTAAATTCTAACTAAACATGGAATTCTCCATTATGTATATTCATTGAACCAAATGAATCCATGAAACAAATTCCCATTTAGGCCTCATTTGGGTACAATGATTCCACACGTCATATTTCACATATCTGGGATATTTCCAGATTCCACCATTTGGCAAACCCAAAATCCTGTGTATTGGAAATCCAACAGAAATGAAACCTTCGAAATCTGCACAACTTTTCCAAGGTTTCATTTCCATTTTGAAGCTCGATCTTTCTTATTTTCTTGAAACTGGGCTGGCCTTGCATTCGTCATACTGGGCCCACTAACCCCAAATCCAATCTCACGAAACTCCCTCTCTATCTAGAATATAGCACCACTGGAATAACACATCCCCAAGGGCAAACCAACCCAAAAATCAGAGTCGACAGAATCTGCTGGAAAAATCTCGAGCTTGATGGTTAAAGCACGAGCTTGTTTCAACTTTTTTTTTTTTTTTGAGGGAATTGTTTCTACTGTGTTTCTCTAATCCCCATTTAATGGTCGGGCTTGTTCTCTCTGCAATTTCCTTACAGTTCCTTCTAGCGGTTGAGAGTTCCTTTTCCACAAAGATTATCAGTTCTTTCTATAGAAATTGGATCTCCCTCCCACCCTTGCTCCCTCCGCCTACCTTTAAAGCTCGAGCTTCTCTCTCAAGTTGTTTCGTAATACGCGGAAATGTGCAACTGAGGTCTATGGCGATTTGCGGGCGTGCCATTAAGGATCGAGCACTTTGTCTCTCTAAAATTTGTCGGAGT